GAACAGCGTCCACAGTGTGTCCCTCTGGACAGCGTCCATAGTGTGTCCACGTCCCTCTCAACATGTGCCATAATCAACGGCCACTCCCTCCCGGAACGGCATTTTTTATTTGTTTATCTAGCCATGTTTCCTTCGGCAAAGCGTTCCTTATTCATCTCTATCAACACACAAAAGTGGAGTGCAAACGGAGAAGTCAAGAATTTCGAATCTCAACTGAAGCTCTCCGCATAGCTGAACTCATTGAAGGAATAAGAACGAGGAACACATGATCCTACAGACGAGTTGGTGAAGTCGTTGCTCCCGAAATACCTCCCTTCCCATGATTCTTGAATACGGTCCCCCTTCGTCAAATACAAGTTGCCTCCACTCCACCCGTTGTTCCTAACTTATTTGACTTTTATTTCGACTGATAAAACCGTTTGAAAGCCCATGCTCCTTCCTATAAGCGTCTTGTAAAGGGTTAGCCAATGTTCAGATAAGCTTTCTCGTGGCGATCAATGAAATTAAAGGGATTTACGCCTGGGCGTGTTCCGATCTCCGAGCTTGTGATAATGTGCCTCTTATCCATGTTTTAACACTATGCGTGGTAAGTGATCAGGGTCGTGGAAATTTCCGAGTCCCTGATCACCTACCACGATCATGATCCTCTCAATTTTATCCCTCAGCCGTTGTCTAATTACGGTCCCGGTTTGAGCACTACTCCAAGCTCCCCAACTTTATTTGGCATTCCAATCTCCCTGTAGCGCCATGACATCCGTCGACCGTGAGGGATGGTGATGTACCAGGGTAGACGCAAATTATGGAAACCCAGGAAAACCATCCAACCTGGCGAATGACTGATGGATTCAAATCCTGCCCAATGAGGAAAAGTAATTTTTTCAAATTTGGTCCAATCCGTTTCGATGTGGAGCCTGAGTCGCTCACGGCAGGCGTCCGTTACCGCCAAACAATCACGTCTCCCTTAGTTCAACTCGGGTCCTTCCAAGGACTGCCCACAGACATTCCGCGCTATTGTGGCAGCAAGCTTCTGAATCCAGAGCTGAGATAAACTCGAGACGTATCTATGGGTAGATTCCAATTATTACTGCGACAATATTTCTGGCGATTTCGCCAAGGTGGCAGTCTTGGTGGCTGCGAAAGCGGTTGTCAAATTGTTTGATGTTGAATCAGACGGAAAAGGGTGGCCTTCCACATCGAGCCCATTTAGAAAAATCTCCATTTTTTCTTGCAGAATGGGAAGTTTTTATGAGTGCGCTCGTTTACAGTAACTTGCGCACAAATATACTAGCGCGCACGCACAACAGGATTTTTAGATCTTTTCAACTTCTTAGAATCATCCCCTGTTTTAAGAGGTATGTCGCAAATAACGTCTAGGAGCAAACTGATGTAGAATTTGACAAATCTTCGTACGAGCAAATATGTAATTGCAGGCAAGTGTGAAAAAATGAAGAGAACTGCGGAGTATTGACTATCTGAATTTTTCTGTGCCGTGCCCGCCGAATTCCAAAGAACAATACGCGTTTCTTGTGATGAACTACGTGATTGTTGTGTAAAATATTTGTTGAAGTGCAGCGAATTCTACTACATGTAAGACTACAGAGGAACTTGACGAAAAGAAAGACCTCCACAAGCGTTTGAAGGTAAAGAAGAGGATATTACATAGTTTTGCTAACGACTGGTGAGGCGATCAGCCCCGAGAAGTGGCCTCCCAACAGATATGTGGGCCCGTTCCCGCGCCAGGAGCAGACCCAAATCTCCAGGTTGCACAAGTTGAATTTGCTCCTTTCGAACTTGTATATGTATACAGGGGGGGACCAAAAGAATTTTTCACTTAAGATATTTAAAGCGAGAGATTACGATAAAGTGCGTATGCAGCGTGGAAGTACATGCACCATTGGAAGCAGTAGTCAGGGGCCCAAGGAAACGAAATGTTGCGTTTTTGTGGTCAAAGGTGCGCTAGTTGCAGCGTACAAGGCTTGCCATTCCTTTCTGAGCCCCGCCACGGTCTGTGCTCCGCCCCCAGCAGCAGCGCCCTTCGATTGCCAATGTGACGAGATATTCCACTTCCACGGTGTATCCTATATAACTTTTCCATGGATGCGTGATCAATCAAAGCATGATGCTTGCTGAAATGATAGAGGCTATCAGCATAACATGTGCAAACGACCTCCTAATTGGTTGCTAGCTCGTCCATTATCGGAGGTCAACGGGCAAAGAAAGGGGTCCCATTTTGCGCCTTCTTGACGGATTTCTTTGCTTTTTTCGCCACTGGGGCATTATTCAGCATCTCCACTTCCACTATGAACCCAGTCCAAACTTATCGTAATCCCTCGCTTTAAGCATTTTACTCAACTCAGACCGAACGGTTCCAACTTATTATTAAAGAGTGCATTCCATTCTATAAGAAAATCTTCATAGTGGCCACGTACGTGGACGGCATCAGAAGAATTAGCCCTGGAAACATGGTGCACTGGTCGATCTCAATGGGGTCTTCGAAGGATCGTGTACCATAACGACCCTTACTGGAAAGCTAGTTCCGAGGGGATTTGCACAGTGGTAGCTAATGCCTCTAGAAAACTATCCAACATTAAATCGATTCACGAAATTGCGTAGACCTCCTTGAGCCTGACGACGGTGACAGATGACGTCATATTCTGAAGACGGTGAGGGCAGTGAAGGAGAGCCTGCGTACACTAATAGAGGAACACTTAGGGAATACTCTGCTGAGGAACTCCCGTCAACGACAGCAATCTCTGCGAAGAAAAAAGAGCCGAAGTCCGACATAGGCAAAATGTCTTTTTTTTTGGCCCCCCCCCTAGTATTAAGCGATGATGTAATAGTAACTTGTCGTTATGTTACCCTTGTGCCTCACCACCGATACTTCAGAGTTCTGCGTCCAAGTTGTTGCGGATCAGAATCGCATACACTGTGTCTTTTCTCAAGGTCATTGGCCACCTTTCAATGAAGGTGAAGACCACGATAGAGGGCGAACGCCTGCTCCATTCATGTAGAACCTACCCACGTATATTCTGCCCGCGTCCGACCATAATTTCATTCTTCTTGTGATAAAACTACATCGCGTTGATTGCCAAATACAGTGTGATTAAATTGGTTCTATTCTTAACTCCGTGCAGGGTCAGCAAGTACACCGAGTGCTGAGGCATGCTTGGTAACCCTGTGATTCGTCGAGCCTAGCCCTACTGGCAGTAACCGTAGGGTTTTCAGCTACTGATGCTTACTTTCGAAAGTCTTACAATCTGTCCCTCATGTGCTCTTATGACGATAGCAAAAATAAAAACTGAACCTAAAAACTGTCTTTGGAGTGAAGGTTATAATTTTTTCTGGAAGGGTTAGAAGTCTCACGCTTTCGAGATTAGGAAAAAAAGTTCGCGGAAACCCCTTTGGGAAGCTACCCTCGTCTGTGATCGAGAGAGGACATCCGTTTCCTTTTACTTGCCGTTTCATTTCCTTGTTGTTCTTAGGACACCTGCCAAGGGAGCGTAACGAAAGTCTATTTGCAGAGGACTGTTCGCGTTTGTTCGTGAACTTGGTTGAATCGATCTGCACTGATGTCAAGGTCACGTCACCCTGATATTACCTAATCAAAATTCAATCACACCAACGCAAAACCCGTTCGCAGAGTATACAAGTAGGTAATCCGCATTGCCGTATAGTATTAACCACGATGCATGCAGTTGTTCTCCGTTACAGCCGGGACTAACCAGAGTTCAACGTATTGTTTGCATAGAGGGATCTGAGTCACGCTGGGCGGAGCAATCACAGATCAGCATCAAAAACGGAGAATATAAGCGATGCCGTCCGGATTATTCCATACCGATCTCGTTTTGTCCTTTTTAAACGCATTGTATAATTGGCCCACTCTACCTGTACCCTTACTGAGCCCTACAGGGCCTCTCTTCCGTTTCCAAAGCCCTATACAAACTAAGACTTCTGTTTCAGAATGAATTCAACAATCCTTATTCTGGCTATTATTGGAGCAGTGCTCAGTGCCGACTTCGGCATGTTGGGCCAAGTCGCCATGGATTCCCCTGGAGACATGGATGGCCCTGATGACATCGATGGTCCAGATGACCAAGGTGGTCCAGGAGGTAGAGGTGGTCCAGGTCGTGGACGATTCGGTCCCGGTGGTCGATGGGACCACCGTCGTCATCATCGCGGACCTCCACCTCCACCATATCTCAAGAATGTCAGTGAGGAAGCCCGAAGGGAGTATTTCGACATCGTGAAAGACATGAACAAAACGATTGCACAACAAAAGGAGGACATTTTGGAATGGGCAGCTAAGTATGAAATCCGGGTAAGCTTTTTTAAAGTTGCAAGTTCAAATCTTGTTTATGTTCGATAGAGTAGCCGCTAGTTGCTGAGGCTAGCCGCCAATTCGCAGAGTATAGACGCTGCCCTGGGGGTCTCAGCATCATAACCACGTTCACATAAGTTTTCGTAATTTATAGGATCAAGTGGAGGAGTTCAATGCGAACATGACCAGAATAAAGACCGAGGTGAAACAGAACGTGACCAATCTCATCAACTCCATGCTGTCAGAATTCCAACAAGTTTCTGCCATCATGGATAACGAGGACCAAACCTGGATTGAGATGTTCAGAGCACTGGGTAATTCTGAGTGCTCAGAATCCGAAGGTACATTTATTTTGCATCAACTGCCGTTCAGATTCACTTAATATCCTGCCTTACAGGTGTACCATGTCGTTAGATTCGCTATGGACCAGTTCAGGCCTCGACGTGGACGTCGGCCACATGGACCCGGTGGAAAAGACTTTATGGGAGGAGAAGGTGGTCGTGGAGGATTTGGTGGCTTTGGCGGTCAAAGGAGGTAAGCGGCCTTGTTATTTTCTGTGGACTTATGGGCCCCACCAAATTCTATAAAAGTCCTTTTTCAAGAGATGAGAGGCGGATTCGGAGGAATGATGGACGGTCAACAAGGACAAGGTGGTTTCGGCAGAAACCAAGGCGGACGAGGTGGCTTTGGTGGTAACCAAATGATGGGCGGTCAGGGTGGACGAGGTGGAATGATGGGTGGACAACGTGATCAAGGTGGATTCGGAGGCCAGCCAGGAGGTTCGTCGTGATTCCGTTCTCAATCATAGTTTCCTTTGTTAAATTAATATGGAAAAAAATCACGTGTTTTTAAGGATGGAACAATGCTGGCGACTTCGAACAAAATCAAATAGATGACGGATTTTGAATAATTGAATTATTCTAAATGCATTCCATTTCAAACGTTGTACAGTGTTCATGACTTAATTTAACATTTGTTGTATGATAAAGATTTTCAAATCTCAGTGGGCTCGGTGCTTCTCTTGTGAATTACTGAACACGAATTCTTCACTCAGTACAAATAGCTAAAGGTCAAATG